CGTAGTGTGAGGTGAGGCCTTCTTTTACTCCAGTTAGAATTCCACTTGCAACTTGCCGGTATTTAGGTAGATTGTACAGGGTGTAACCTGGGAATTGGTAGTACTTCAGTTTGTCATCCGAAATGTTAGCTTCCATAATTGTGAAAATGTCTACATCATAGGTTTGTAGGATTTTCTGTATTTGGATCTTTTTGTCCGGAGACATTCCTCCAGCATTCCACTGGAGGATCTGAAGACGTTGTGATTCGCCCTGACGAGGGCGATTTTTCTTATAGCCTTTTTTAAAGCTAATCATAATTAATCGAAGTCAAAAACGAATGCCGAGTGATAGACTTTTTGCCGTAAGAAAATACATTGTCCAGGGTGCACCACGAGGAGGTAAGTCTATCGCGCATCCCATAGAGAAATAATGGAATAGACATTCCTTAATAAAATGACAAACGAAGGACTACCATTTTCACCTGAAAAGTGTTTGAAACTTTCCTTTTCTTGAGCTTTGGAAAAATATTGTTCCCGAATTTCAAGAGTGTGTATGGTAATATTATTATAAGTATCTCGTGCGATATAAATCCATTTAGTTTGATATAATGAGACCAACATTAAGCGAAGTGATGTTAATGGTTTCACAAAATTTGCTATAATGAAAATATTCGTTATTTCTGACAAACAATTTGAATTTTTGATTTTAGATTTTTTGGCCCAACCTCCATGGATATTCTGTTTAATAGCAATTTTCATAATCTCTGTAACAGTGAATATTATTCTATGGTGCAGATGGTGCCTCGTGTGCATATTTACAGGTAAAAGTATAGGCCTTTCTTAAAATTAAAGATGGTGCTTTTTTTATTTTAAAGAATATTTTATTTAATTGAGACTTAATCTAATTGGATTTATTACTGCCTGTACATATATTTATTTTTTCTTAATTACAGTACGCCGAAAAAAGTATAACGACGATCAAAAGCTTCTTGGTGATATGGTATGTCTTCCTACACAAATAAGTCGTCCTCAATCAGGCCTCTGGGAGAATGACGTATATCCAACAACTTTTATGGACACTCTTCAGGAGCCACTCTACTTCAAAGGAAATCCTAATAGATATAATCATTTTGGAACATTTGGTCCTAGCAACTTTGCATACGATCATTCACAGGTTCAGAATATCAGCGAATTTAATGACATTTCATTTCCCCAATACTTTAATACCATGCAGCCTAATCAATTATGGAGAACTCGAAGCGTAGGAGCAACATTTTCTGCAGGAAATTTCCCATTTAATTATGATCTTGTGAATCACATTCGAAACAACACCGGTTCACTCAAGCATCTTAATCCCCAAAATGATAATCTCTTACCCCCACCTCCCAATCTTGTCTTAACTCCAGTGAGCAAAACCAGTGAAGACTTAAAGAAGTTTCCAAGAATTACCATGAATCCCGTGTCAACGTCTGCTGCAGTATATGATGACGTGGCAAGCAGTTCAACCATAACAATAAATTCCAAGGAACCTAAAATTTTCAATTTGCCAAGGGACCCAATTCTTCCAAGTTTGGTTGAATTTGACAAATCACCGAAGTCAGCTCCTAATGTTTCAAGTAAAGTGTAGCATAGATTCGAATATGA